CTACGGCGCATGACTTGTGCTTCTGAATTCATGGTTTCTTGCATTTCCTGGAGTTTGGCTTCGAGTTCTCTAGTTTTGTCATCTCCACCCAAAGACATGTCTTGCTTGGGCACTGGCTGCAACTGAGAGACCTCAATGTTTTCAACGAGCTTCTTGACTGGAAGATGCCCACTGATGGCAGTCTCGAGACTAGTTGCCAGATTCACCAAAAGCGGTTCCTTTTCTTGGTGCAACATCTTGAGTGCGTCCTGCAGTTTCTGTGCTTCTTCAGCTGGCTGTGGTGCACTGATTTTCTCTTCGGTTTCCTTGACAAGCGAATCAATTTCGTTGAGACGAAAAACGAGTTTGTCAATCAAGTCACCAAATGTCTCGACTTCAGAGGATTCAGACTCGGCATACAAACCATCGGCAAAGATCTTGTCTTCTTCAGCCACCTTTTGCTTCTTGAACGCAATTTCTGGAATCGGGCTCGTGCATTGCGATCTCTTGAGGGTGGAAGCAATCATCTGTTCTTCAATGTCCTGGAACTGCTGGATCTCTTCATACTCTTTTGATGCTCTATAAAGTTCTCTTCTTGCTTTTCTCTCGTTCATTTCTGCAACAGAGACTTGCTCCTTGAGATCTTTGATCATGTCTGCAATCTTTTGGACAGATTCTGGTGCATCCTGGACATTGGTCTGGCCACGAGCAAGTCTGTCTACCCATGCAACGATATCCTGTGGATCTGGGAGGTTGAATCGGATTGGCACCTTGAGAGGCTCCAAAGGAGTGTTTTCAACGTCGCCTTTGACACCGGGGAACCAAGTCTGTCTGCGTCGAGACTTTTTGGTAGGAGCAGTTTGATTCACTTTGTCTGAATCGACGATCTTGAGTGCCATGACTTCCAATCGTTTCAATAGTTTCTCGTGGCTTGACTTGTCCTGAGCTTCTTGAGCGTTCTTGTTTTGTTCAAGTTGCTTCTTGAGCTGGTTGATCTCCTCCTTGTATCTCTTGAGCAATGTTTCTTCGGACACGATAGCGTTCACGATTGGCTTGTTCTTGATGTTTCTGGCTCTGCTGGCAAAACGGATGGTTGAAAGAGATTCATCAATGTGGAGATTGGCAGGAGTGATAGTACATACGATGCCAGTCTGAGCGTTGCCTCCAAGGGATGGCTGCAGAATTCTCGTGAGTTTCGAGTCACGATACGGAATGTGACCATTGTCACCTTCAGACAACTTGGCAATGACAGTCGTGAGTGCCAAAAGACTCTTGTTGATGTGTCCACCTTCCTTGAGTCGCTTTCCTTCAGCACCAGTGTGCTGTGCTCTCTCTGATCCAGCAAGATCAACAAGATTGAGCTGTGAGACGTTGACAGATCCAGTAAAAGAAGTTCTGGCACTCTCGTCCTTCTCTCTGCTCTCGATCGTCAACCGAAAGATGGTGTGTGACCTAGAGGATTTTTCGTTCATTTGCGTGTCGCCAATCTGTCGATTGCCCTCACCAAAAGACAACAGTCGCTGCACATCATCAGCAGAAGTGACAATCTCCTCTGTCAGTTTCCCAACAAAAATCTCCCTGTTTGGATTCTCGTGAATTTTGAGATTTTCGTTCTGAGGATTCAACAAATCATTGATGACTTCGTTGTAAATCTCCATGTAGCTGACTCTCAGTAGATATTCACGCGCAGGGCACTCCCGAATATGCTCAAAGATCTGCTTAATAGCCATCAATGTCATGCCTGGCTCTTGCTGGTTACCGAGCATTGTGTGAGTTTTACCGGATGAAGTCTGTCCCAGCATGAGTGCAATTACCATAGGCGAAGATCGTCCCGTTTATGCCCTCCATACAACGCAACACAATGTCACGGGCGATAGCGTCATAAACTTGCTTGGTATTGGTTTGTTGATCAAATACATGATCAAACTGGAACTGGGTCTGCGGTTGGGTCGCTATCAGCGTATTATCTTGGATCGAAAAGGCATTTCCCTGATCTCCCAACCTTAGTTCTCTCTGGTTCAAGGGCCTCACCCTTATACACACTGCTACTGCGTCTTGCATTCACAGACAGGTTTTTTCCAGAGTATGAGAAGTCGTAAACACGATCTGCTAACAAAAGTCATGAAACGGCCGCTAGAAGAACTTATTAGCAAACCATCGGAATGGATAGTGCTCTTGAACTGCTCCTACTCTTCTGGTGTGCATGGTGCAGTTTTGGAACAATGGCTAAAACAGTACTCTGGATACAAGAGGGCTCAAATGTTTTATGGTGAGATTCCGTTTGTGTTTGTAGAGTTCCAATCCATTCCAGACGCAACGCGCTTTTTGGATAGTGCTCAAGTGTATCAACCACTCTTGGACAGAAAGGTTGTAGCAGAGTACTGTTACATTCAGCCAGAGTTTCCTCCACCAGCACTCACGGATCCATCAGACATCATCAAGGCTGTTCCTGGTCTGATTGTTGATCAGGATTTTGTCAATGAATCAGAGGAAACTGAGTTGATTGATGCTTTTGTTGCAGAGGGCGAAAAGGGACGCTGGCAGAAGCTTCAAAACAGAAATGTTCAGCACTTTGGATTCCGTTTTGATTATGCACTCAAGCAGGTAGATAAGGATGCATTAGACAGGGAATCTGCATTTCCAGACTGGATCCAGCCACTATTGGACAGATATCGGACAAATTATCCTCACAATCCAAAGCCAGACCAACTGACACTGAACCACTACCATCCAGGAGGTGGAATTGCACCACATTGCGACACGCATTCGTCGTTTCTGTCTCCGTTGCTTTTGATTTCACTTGGCAGTGACATCATCATGGAGTTCAAGCAAACTATTCCCAAGGAGGAGACTGTTTTTGTTGTCCTGCCAAAGAGATCGTTAGCAATCATGGGAGGCGACTCTCGTTATGGCTGGGAACATGTCATACGTCCTCGCAAAGTGGACCTCATCAATGGATTTTTGCATGAGCGCAAAGACAGATACAGTCTAACGTTTCGTACAGTGCGTCCAGATGATCAACCGTGTGACTGCCACTTCAAACACTATTGTTCGTGATCTCATTTGTCAATGGCATCCAGCTTCGACACAGCGCAATGCTCCAGCCCTGATCCAGTCGCATGAATAGTGAATGAGGGGTCCAATTTGCGGGATTTTTGCTCCATGTTTCCTAATTCGTCAGAAGGCTCATCGCGATTCGGGACCAGACCCCCTCCCAGATGCACGCATGGAAATTCTTATGACATCAGAAATTCTAATTCCACACATCAAGCATCTCTGTGCTCTCTGAGAGTAAAATACAATCTTGACAGGAAAAGTGTCAAAATTGTCTCTGCTTCGCCAACGACACATCTTGAGAGCACTTCTCTTGCTCATGAATGGAATATTCTAGGCCAGATGATCCGAGGCTGCTTCTGAGCCGTAAATGAGCCTGAAACCGAAACGCGCCACGCTCACTTGAAAAGCGCAGACATTCCCCTCAATATATCTTTTTATGCTCTCTCTCATCTTCTCTGCATCGCTCGTTGCTGGTCACGGCTTCCTCACTCAACCTCTTGGTCTCAATGCACAAAAGGCTGTCAAAGTCAACGTCGCTGGTTCTCCTTGTGGTCCTGGTGTTCAAATGCCTACTGCTGCCGAATTGGCTGCTTCTACTACCACTCTCAAGCCTGGTGACACTGTTACCATGACCTATGTTATCCAGAACGGTGATGGATCTGGTCCAATCAACGTCCAATTCGACCCAACTGGAAAGGGGGACTTTGGTGGAGCTGGCTCCGCTGGAAATGCCACTGTTACCAAGCAAGTGCCTGGCAAGCTCGGTCTTGTTGACAGAGCTGGTGGTCAAGCAAACCCACGTCGTACACCTGCTGAATTCTCGTTTGAAGTGCCAGCTGACTTGAGCTGTGCCAACGGCTGCTTGATGCGTGTGTCTCAGGCAGATCGTCAGTTTGGTGCTTGTGCTATTGTCAAGACTGGTGATGCCACTCAGATCCCACCAGCTGCTGCCATTCAAGGTGCCCAAAAGGCAAAGAAGGGTGCTGCCAAGAAAGGTGCTGCCAAAGGAAACGCAAAGAATGCTGCTGCCAAGAATGCTGCTGCCAAGAAGGGTGCTGCCAAGAAGGGTGCTGCCAAGAAGGCCAAGAATGCTGGCGCCAAGAAAGCTGGTGCCAAGAAGGCAGCTAAGAAGGCCGCCAAGAAAGCTGCTTAAGTATTAAATATGTATCTTTGTACTACGCTTTTCACTAGAAATGTCCGCCTTCCTTTTCGGGAGAGCGTTATTTCATCGTCGTGAACCCCGTTATATGCCACTACGCAGGCATTCGAGCGCCAGCCCTCTCGGGTAACGCCCCACACTCGTCATGTGCATGCTCAGTCACTGGTGTGCCTCTTCTGAAGCAGATCTGTCGCTCTAGTCCGCGGCACTGTTCCTGATGTCGACCAAGGATGTTTCGCGCAGCATTCGTGTCTGTTCACTGTCATGCCATGGCATTCACTGTTGGGGCAGTGCAGCACGGAGTTCACCTTGACTTTGCGCTCTCTTGGTTCTGTGTCGCCCTTCCACCTGGCCATCTTCCAGGAGATCATGTTCTGCATTCTGAAGTGACAGTCCAAGTGCAGCTTGCTTGTCCGATGCTCGTCCACGTCGACGACGGTGCATGCCAGATAAGAAACGACACTAGATCTTGACACTGCCAGTGTAAGCCTTTGTAGCTTTCTCCTGAGCCAGATGGAGTAGAAGTCGGTGATGCTGCTCAGTCAACACCCGTCGTCTGCCTCTTTCTGAATTGGGTTTGTTGCATCCGCTTCCACCTTCTCAGTGTTCTCTCATGAACCATCCGCATTCGTGAGCAATCCCTCATGCTGCTACCGAAAGCCAGCGTGTTGTTGAAGTCTAGAGCCTGTCCGCGGACTACATGGTGAAGAAAGTAGGGTGGTGCCATTCTCTCGAAAGGGAAGGCAGACATTACTTTTGCGGCTTATAATAACATGAAAGTTTCTGGGCAAAATGAAAAATAATGTGCTCCATGACGGGATCGAACCGCCGACCTTAGCGTTATTAGCACTACGCTCTACCGACTAAGCTAACGGAGCACTGGTTTCTCGTTTTCTCGGTAGAATACATTCCTAGTATCTACTGTTTTTGAACCGTTTTCCCACTTGCTCTGTTGATGCTGAGGCAGTGTGCTTGAAAAAGACTACCAAGAACTGCGATCAACTGCTGCTCGCTATTTCGAGTTTTTCTGACAAATGCATTCCTTTTGTATTTGATCCTGCAGTTCAAGTAAGTTTGTTTTCAGTGGTGGCAGTGTGAGAGTGTTCTTCTCATGTACCCGTTTTGGTCATACTCCAGAAGCACTGGAGCGGTCACCAGACATCTGCCTTAATAGCTCAGCTGGCAGAGCGCTTGCCTAGTAAGCAAGAGGTCCACGGTTCGATTCCGTGTTGAGGCATTTTTTCTACTTTTGATCTCATTCACTTTTGCTTTTCTTCCATTGCACAGATGGTCTTGCAGGATTGTCATCTTTTTGATAGTTTTGACATGCCAAAAGATTGAATTTATTGCTCTTGGGCTTTCCTCTTGTTGGGACGACTCTAGAATGAACATGATTACCATTGGACCCCAATTAGGAGCTGGATTCATCTGGAATCGAACGAGCTTGTACTTGATAGAGTCTGGCATGTGCTGATTAGGATCAGTAAAGTCTGCTGGTACTTTAGCTTCCTTTGACAGGATGATGGTAGAAGGAGATTGGCTTTGTGGATCTTTTGGTTCTTTCTTGCTCTTGTCGTGTTGATCGACCCAGCTTCGCATGATATCCCACAGAACGTCAATGGGAGCAGTTGTCTTGAGTGCTTGTGGGCATGCATGCGATTGAGATGCTGCAAAACCTTGTTTTGTGATGGCAGCAATCATTTGTAGATAAGAAGGACTGGTGCAGTGCAAGGTATTGGAAAGAGATGAAAGTACATAGTACAGAGGTACTGGAAGCTCTTCCTTGGCGATACAAAGCATACCAGCCATCCTATGGAACGTGCCAAATTGATCGTGATTCACGGCAACATACTCGAGCATTCTTGACAAAAACTCTTGATGGTGGATGGGAGCAATGTAGAGTGGACCAGCGACTTGGAAAGTGAAGCCGCAGTGCTCACAGTTTGGACCAACTGGAGGACCACGAGCAGGACCGCCTTTGTATCCCTTTGGATTGACTTCATACTTGCCCATGGGTTGGATATGGAAGGATTTACAGCCGTTGCAGTTGTAGATCACGCCAGTTTTGCTGGCTGCTTCTTTAACGGCAGATGCAGAATCCTTGACACGCACAAACACACGAATGTAGTAGTCGATACTAAAAGAAGCAAGTGGCTCAATCACACGCTTGTATCTTGAAGCAATCGTCTGAATGCTGTGCAACAAGATTCTGAGAGCCATCTCGTGCGTGAAGGAGCTGTTTGGGAGGTTGATACCACCATACTTGGCCCAGCAAGCTTCTGGCTGACTGCCAGCCAAGACAGCCATGTCTGTGCAAGTCACACACAACAATCCGCCGTCAGAGACTGCCTGTATAGAGGCATCCAAAAAAGGTGCTGCAGAACCATAAGGATCAAGATCAATGACATCATACTTTTGCTTGTCAATGATTGCTTTGTAGATGGTGTGAACAGCGTCGCCTTGAACACCTTGTACAGTGTTATCCACTTTGTTCAAGACAGCATTGCGTTGAATAGACTGGACAGCTTCAGGAAGCAAATCATTTGCCAAGATTTTGTGAACGTTTTTGATTTCTTTGGCGTAACGCATGGATCTCAGTCCAGTGGCAGCCAAAGCCTCTAGAATAGTGAACTTAAAGTCAGGGTCTTCTAATCTCTTGAATTCAGTCTTGTTGGCGAGTTTGAGCATGCATTTGAGTGTATCTCTCAGTTTCTTTGTTTTCTTGTCCTCTCCTTCAACACCCACCACTGGAGGCTCTGCTGCAGTAGCTTTCTTGTCATCTAGTGTCATGTACTTCCAAGCAGAAATGGCTGCAATACTCATGTCTCGGTTGAACTCTTGAATAGGATTGTAGAACACATTGTCGTCATAAATGATCTTGGCTTTGCCCTCCTGCACTGTCTTTGTGCCGTCTTGCTCTGTTTTCACATAATCCTCCATCTTCAGACTCATTGCGTTGGCAAGAAAACAATTTGACAATTTGCAGTTTGCGAATGTTTGGAACACCTCGCAAAGTGGGGACACCAAAACCACCACCACGCACAAGATCAAGAGCAGGAACACCACTCCAGCAGATCCACTCCAAGACACAAGATGTCTCTTCCTTCTTGCTCAGAACAGACACCATCACTGTCTCTACCATTGGAGTCTTACCTTCAAAACTCGTTACAGTCATGCAAAACTATCCTGGAAAGAGACTGTCATGTGTGATTGATCAGTCTAGTGGATTTGTGTGCTATGCAACACCACAATCATGTTTTGTCTGGAACTACAAAAAGGGACTTGGACATCTCAACTGCACTGAATTCAAGATGCCCCTGCGTCTTGATCTAGAGAGGAATCTCTTGGTGAGTTTTGTAGTTGCTGGAAGAGCAGACACGAGACAAGTCGGCATGATGGTCTGCAGTCAGGATGGATTGCTCAGATTCTGGGAGAATATCGAGTTTGATCCAAATAGCTACAAAGAAACCAGACTGAATCTCAACCAATACCAACCATCGTTTATCCAAACGTTTGAACATTTTGGTGTCATCATCGGACTTGGTCCTTCGCTCTTGAAGTGTGTCCACACCGATGGGCAGCTCAAGATCACACCCCTCTCCTCTGGATCTGAAGGATTTCTTGGTTTCAAACTCTTTTCCGTGTCTGATGGGTATCCAGCCATCTGCAACGGAGAAACACCACAACAAGTTGTCTTTGGACAATATGGAGACTCTCAGTTGTCTCGCTTTGCCTATGTCTTGACAGACACGCGTTTGCAAAAATGGCAGCTCTTCAAACTTGGCTCAGAGAAGCTCTTGCAAGACTGGAATCTCTTTTCAGTTCTTGAAAAAGCATTGAAAACAGCAGAGTTTACTGTCCTGAGGATTGACTATGAAAAATCAGACACGATCTTGCTGCTTGTCGAGTATCAAGTCAGCCCAACCCTGTCTGGGTACAAATTTGTTCGCTTGGATGAAAAAGGCAAAGATCTGATTGTCCTGAACACCAAGAATCTCAAGTACACTCAAGACATGACAAAGGAAGCCGTTCCAAGCTTTGTGCTCTCAAACGGTGGACCAGCAGCGCTCGTCATGTTCCCACAAGCAGTGATTGTTACAACAACAGATGTCCATCAAGAATTTGAAGAAATCATTCCACTCAAAGACCATGATCTCTTGGCACTTGGCGTGGACAGATCTAAGCTCTTGTCAAAGGAGTTTGAGACACAGAGCACAGTTGTCATGTGCACGATGGATGCAGAGTATGGATTGCTGCAGCTGGATGTCTTGATCAAACCAACCAAAGATTTCAAGGAAATCCACGACAGAGACAGAACATCGATGGCATTTGAAACCAAACTGGAACAAGCAGTCTTCTTTTCAGCTGAAAAGTCGAATCCACTCTTGTTCTCACTCTCTAATTTCCAAGGTGATCTCGATCAGCCATGTGCTCGCATTTCAGACTCGATCGTCAACTCTTTTAGTCAGCATCTGCCAAAAACAGTAGATTTCTCGAGTGCCTTGAGAGAGAAAACCATGTTCCATGCCAATCTTGTCTTTATGATGAACGAAAACGGACTCATGAACCAAGTGTCTTCAGGAACAAGGCTGCATCTGCTCTCTAATGCAGAGAAACTCTCTGTCTTGCAAACAATGTGGCAGTATTTAGATCCATTGCTTGCTTCTGTGAATGCTGATGACACATTCAAGCAGAGTGTCAATGCTTACGTTGCCACCAAAGGATTGCAAGGTTTGGATGCCTTTTTCAATGCACAGGTATACTGTTTGAGACCAGCTACCAGACTTTGAACAGTTTCTGCGACATGTTCAAACACTGACTGAGAAGAGACTCGCCACTGGTAGAAAAGAGCCTGTGTTGCTGAGTGCACTTGTAGAGAGCAGTCGTATCTTTTCGGTTAGAATGTTAACTTGAGTTGGTCTTCAAAACAGCAACAGATTTCAGATCAGAACATGAATCCAAGTTCTTGAACGTCTCTGGCATTCCATGGACATTTACACCAGTCATGCTTGCTATGCTGCAGACACAATTTGAACTCGTCTGTCAGGAAATGGCTGATTTCGGCAGATATGCTAATTTTGCTCGTTCTCAAGCAGAAGCCAAGAGTGTGTATGATGCATTGGGATCCTGTCTGAGAGATGTGTGTGATTTCTTGCTCGGTGCTTACTTTGCAATCCTTGGACAAGACACGCTGGATCCACGGCTGCAAGGACCTTTGAATGAGATGCTCAGTAAGTTCCCTGCTCTCAAAGAGCGTGTTGTCAAGGCACTCTTGGAGTTTGTGGGTATCGAAGATGCCTTTTTTGTTGCAGAGAAATACCAAGACTTTGAAACCCTAGTGAAATTGACTCTCCAAGTAGAAGACAGAGACAAACGCATTGATCTCTATATCCACAACTATGGCAAAGCGTTCTCAAAGGCGTTATACACGCATTACATGGGAAGAAAGGAGTTCCAGAAGCTGTTGGTCCAGGGTGACAGAAACGACGATCTAGTAGATGACTTTTTAAAGTCTTCGTCTCTGCACCACCTCTCTTGGATTCATGATATCAAACGACACCAGTTTGAGTCAGCCAGTCATGCACTCTTGCAAGTAGCAACAAACGAAGAGAAGCTGCAGAGGCAAAAGCTTGGATTCTCCCTTGCCAAACTAGCACACATTGCTGCCTATCCATCTTCGAGTGAACACGATTTGGAACGGTATCAAGAAGAGCAACAGTACATTGCCACCCAACAAGCATTCGTAGATGTTTTGCTCGAAGGCATGGACACTTCTTTGCAAGGCTATGATCAACTGGCTGAGCTGCTGCTGAAGAGACACCATCATCACCTAGAAAAGACTATGCCAGCGACTCTTGGGCTGCTCAGAACTATTTACTTGCGTGTCTGTCGTGGACTCAACATCAAACGCACAGATCTCGTGCTTCTGGCTACACTCTTGTCTCCAGATGCAGAGCATTACAAAGATCTGGTTGGCATTGCATTTGAAGTCGTTATGGATTACAAAACGACTCAAGAACAAAAGACACAACTGTTTGCAGCCATCTATCGTCGCACATGGCTCTCTGACAGGCATTGATCTTAATTTTAGCTGGAAAGACATTGGAGCTGTTTTCAAGCGTGCGGGTGACAAGGAGAAGCATGAGACACTCTCAAAGACCAATACCTATACTCTCTATCAACTGGCTTTCACAAAAGCAGAAGAGGGTCCGTCTTGGTTTATCTTGTCTCCAGAAC